CTATTAGCTGTACATGCTCTTTTATCTAAAGAACTATTTGTTATTATCATAATCTTCATCAACTTGTCAAGATAATGGAGGGTCCACTGAGTTCAGAGAAGGCCTCACACAGTTCATATAAATTCAAAGGACATAAATGTAGAGAGTTTGGGAGCAACTAATAAATAAGATCTGCATAGAGAATCATAAAGAATGGGCTTTCTAAGAGATCCTGCCTTGGAGAGAGTAGAACTTGAGCTCAGTTTTGAGGGAAAGAAGAAAAGACTCACCATCTGAAATGGGGACAATAAATTAGTAAGCAAAATGGGTAAAGACAAATCCAAGACAGAGAGCTGCAGGAAGAGCAGATGAAGATAAACTCAGGGATAATAATCAAGGCTGTAATAAAAGGAAGAAAGCTCCTGAGCCTACTTTCAGCAGATACCACATCTGTACTTGTTAGACACACACAAGTGTAGGTTTGGGGGGAGGCAAGTTACTTATCAACTTTGACAAGTGCCTACCAGACTTGCTTAGCAATCAGACAAGGTTTATAATTACTTCACCAAGCCTTTCTGATGAGCCACAATTTGCAGCTGTCTGCACATTGATTTCTGGCAAACTGATTTCGTTCTACCAATGCTTCATTAAATTAACCTCAGAGGGTTGATATCACTATGTCAGAATCTCACCCAAAGTAGCTATGAGTTAATAAATTGCCCTTCTGAAAAGCAAGATGTTCCCTCCATTTAAATTATGTTAGGACTAGTAGGGAACTTCAAGTTCCTCTAGTTCAACACTTATTTTTTCATGTAATCACTCATTTAACAAATGTTTATTAAAGACCCACTCTATGCCAGATTCGGTCCCTGTTCTCAAGGCTTTACAATGTAGTTAGGGATGCAGACATTGAATAATAAACTAATAAATTATTTCAAGGGACAGAAATAATAAGGTCATAAACATGTAATATGATAGAGTTACCTGAAAGGATATAAGGGATTAACTATCTTAGATGGAGTGAGGTGATCAATGAAAATAATTCTCTGAGGGGTGACACTTGAGCTGAGATTTGGATGGAGATGTGAAGCCACAAGACAGGAAGGAGAAGATAAAAGAAGATACAAAAAGGCCCTGAGGTAGGAACAAGAATAATATACTTGACAAAAGCAAGTAGTGAGAGAGAATGAGAGTAACAGGAGCAAGGGAGGGAGGGAGGATGCCCTACTGAAGTTAAAGAATTCACCCAGGGCCAGAGAATTGTAAATAAGTAAGCAAGATAGTATAATGAATGTTACAGATAAGTGGTATGCACAAAGGACTAGACACAGGATCCTGGGGGTAGTCATTTTTGAGTGGTAGAGAGAAGAGGAATACCCCATGAAACAGGCAGGGATCTCAAACCTGAATTTGTGACACAAGCCTTCATGAGAGACTGAGTGGTGGGAACTTCAGGTGGGAACCTAGAGAATGAATGGCATACCTAATAGCATTCAGACTTATTCAAGATACTTTACAGGCACAATAAAGCACATCATTAACAAATACATTTCAAGCAAAATAAAAAATAGGAGGAAGCAAGCAAATCCCATGGATCATCAATATGCAACAATGAGCTGGAGGAAAAGTGGGAAGTAGGCTGGGAATGAGAAAAAAATCAATACAGCATGGTCTAATGTAAGCCAAAGAAGAGTTACACTTTATATTTCAATGAACTAAACAAAAAAGAATGTCTTATTAGGCAGTAACCAAATGCTGTAATACTAATAACAATAACAAAGACCCACAATATTTGTTACAGAACTTGCATAACTTAGAAACAGAGGTAATGATCGAATGGGCCAGATTTGTCAAGTTATAGAACCATGAGGTCTATCCAAAGAAGAATCATGGTCATCCACTCTGTGCTTGCATGGACCCAGGGATGGAAAGCTCCCTACACCTCCCCCCAGGGCACTTTCTATCAATTCGACCTGTTGTTACATGGAGCTGGTATCTGCCTCCTTGTCACCTAAAAGTCCCAGATCTTCCCCCTGGAGCCACCTGACAGCCCTTTAGATAGAAGCAGTGACTCTGTCACTGTCTCCCTCCACAAGTGTTTCCTTCTCCAAACAAAACATCTCTAACATTAACTACTTCCCAGATCACTATTTCTAGACTCTACCATCATAGTCACCTTTCTGTGAACTTTCTCTAGTTTGTCACTGTCCCTTGTAAACAGTGCCCAGAGAGAACACAGCATTCCCAGCTAATTTATAGTGTAGGGCTTCTTTATGCATTGTTTTCTATTTCTGCAGCAGTAGGAACACAATTGCATTTTATTAAGCTCTGTCTTCTGCTGTCCAAGTTCCCCCTTTCCCACCTTCCAAGCCAGTCTGTTGTATTTCAGGGACACATGCATAATTTTAAGTGAGTGCTCCTTTCAGTATAAAGAAGGCTGTCCCTCATCACTCCATCATTTCTTATTAAAATCAGTCAGTCTAATATATATCACATTCTGTACCAACAATGCAGTGCTTGGTGCTTCTCATGCCACTTTCTAGATATTATCTTATTTATTATGTACTCAAACTTTATACATAGAGAAAGATGAATCTGAGAATTAGTGGTTAAAGGCAGAGGGAGCATCCAATAACCTGGCTTTGAATCCAGGTTCTCCATTACCCATCATTGCTAGGTTTTAAAAACAAAATTAATAAGAAGAACAGAACGCAGTTACCTATTAATAGAGGTGTAGTATGTACCAAGTCCTGTAATAAACATTTAATGTACAGTATGTCATATATTATACATAACAATCTCTGAAGTGTATTTATCTTCATTTCAGAGAGGAGAGAATTAAAACACAGAGATTAAGGTTCTTGCCTAATGTTACACAACCAGTAGATGGCATTGGGATTTGAACCTAATTCTGCTTGTCTTCAGAAAGTTCAATCTTGTCATAGTCTCATGCTACAATCTCCCTCAACCTCCTTCAGTGGTTGCTATCTATACTACATGTTACTTATCAGTTGATTAAAAAAATATTGCAATAATTACTTCTCCTGAGATGCTTCTCCAAAAAGGTAGGAGGTAGGGACTTGTGTTGCCTCATCTGTGGGGCCAGAGGCCCTATGTGATCATGTATACAAGGACAAAAGAGTAAGGTTGGGGAGAAAGGTCATGCACCAACCTCAGTGCTAGGCACTGTGTTTCTAACTGGGCTGAAATGCAGCCCTGCAGCTTCTATCACAAGCACATTTGGAATATAAACAAGATTTCAAGGTGACAGTTTAACCAAAAAAAAAAAAAACCCACAGTGTTTTTAAGCACTTTTAATACATTTTTAGCAGTAGTCACTTGTATATAAATCATGTACTAATTTATTCATTAAAATAGCCTGTACTTGGCAACATTTTATTAACCTTAGTTTATGCTAATGTGATCGGTAATTGTATTTTTTTAAAAACACATCTCTTTATAATTACTCCATAATTCTGATTTTTCTTCCAGTTTGATTTAAGCTCTTAACCAACCTCACATCACATTCCACACCCAATGAAAATCAATTTGGATTATAATAAGATATGACTTCAGGAAAGTCTAAATTTGGAGAGACATGATTCCCATACCTAGCCATACATCAGGATTTCCTAGGAAATTTCTTAGACCCACAAAATTACTAATTCCCCAGTGCCTTGGGAATCTGCTGGACCAGGGTTGGGACCTCTTGGGAAAGATTTGCAGCAATTAGTCCACTGACCAACACTTGGAGACCAATGAGTAGAGCATTTTCACCCTTCACAGGTCTATTTCACCTTTGGAAAACAGGAAGCACACATATTGAGTGATATCTCAAAAGTATAAAACCAACTGTCTTAAAGGATCCAGTGAATCCCAGGAAAATTAATTATTAGTCTCAATACTAACTGTTGACCTCTGGTTCTCTATTTTCATGGTCTAATAGCCATTTAATGCCCAATTATTGCAAAGAAATCTTAAAAAATGCAGTTTTTATGTAACATAAAAATAGGGTAGAGATAGTCATAGGGGTTTAGCTGGTAGAGCCACTTGATAAACAACTAAAATAAAAGACAATGAAAATAAAAATCCCTCTGAACCCTGGCTGGTGTGGCTCAGTGGATTGAGTGCCTGTCTGCAAACCAGAGGGCCACTGGTTTGATTTTCAGTCTAGGTCACATGCCTGAGTCCCCGGCCAGGTCCCAAGTTGGGGGTGCATCAGAGGCAACCACGCATTGATGTTTCTCTCCTTCTCTTTCTCCCTCCCTTCCCCTCTCTCTAAAAGTAAATAAATAAATTAAAGAATTAAGAAAAAATAACTGTCAAAGTGTTAGAACAAGAGTGTCAAATAGATGGCTAAAATGGTACCTCTCTCCTATTGGACATCACAGTAGACATTGCTAACCAACCATAGTACATTTCCTTGTTGCATCCAGAAATAGCCTCAAAGCCTTTTCACCTGGCACTCCAGGGCACCACTACCATTTTATCTGCTCTTATGTGTGGGGAATATATTTACCCTTCAATGTCAACAGTAAATAGTTATATCATTCAAACCAACCTAGTCTTTGCTAATGATAATTCAAAGTTAGAATTTGAATAAATGCTATTTAGCAAGACAAGCTGAGTTCCAAAGTATTTTAAAAACTAAATATAACATTTGACTAAAATAACCACATATCCATCTGTTTAATTTCCATTGGTTGTGTAAATTCTGTCCTAGGGAGACACCGGGTCATGATTCCATGCAAACATTTAGTGCCCTGATAAATGACAGGCAGAAATCGCAAGGGCATTTAGATTTTGCCCGGTTTCATTTGAAAAAGAAGTCGCTATAAATTCATTCATCTTCAGTTCCCATAAAGGTCTCTCTGAGCTACTTCACCCCTACTACTGCTTCCCAAGTCATATTGGGTAGAATCCCATTCAAGACCATACACATGGTAATACATACTTAGGCTCCTTTCATCACATGGGCAGCCCCTACGATTACACAATAAGATCAGAGAAAGCAGACCCACCTCATCATAGATGCTGTCATTCCTGTGAAAGTCTCCAGCCTTTCTGGGAAGAACATGAATGTGAACATGCTGAAAATATACAAAAAAAGAAAAATAAAATGTCATTATCTCCCCATATATTTTCACACTTGACAGTGATGCTCTCATGAAGCCCAATTACTCCACATTGTTTCCTGCTGGATTATTTTTCACAGGAAGATGACGTTCACCTTCAGTAACTTGATCTGAAATCTGTGGAGAATAGAGGCACAGAACAAGAGAGAACAACTTGGTGGCATATATGAAAGTGTGAGTGAAATGCCAGAGTGTTTTAGAGACCCTGTGAAATTATTCATAGTTGTCAGTCTTGGTTGTATTTAGCCAGTGCTTTGAAATGACAGCATGTCTTAAAAGGTGACAACAGTGCCTTTGAAACTGACAAGAAATAAGAATTGGCTAAAACAGAGAACTGCATAAGTAAATAGCAAATGGGGGAGAGTATGATGGAGCATTGGCCAAATTACGGAATCCAGGCTTCAAATATAATAATCATATAATAATATAAATAATTCTCATTTATTAAACTTTTAATTATTGTGATAAGGAAGCTCCGTGCTTGGCATTTATCACATTTAATGCCCTGAATAAACTTGTGAGGCAGCTTCACCATGACCCCCATGCTACTGATGGGGAAGTCTGCTCAGAGGTCTAGGCTTTGCAGGCAGTGGTAGAGTCAGCACAGACAGCCAGGTGGTCTGTCTAAATTTCTTTAGTCTAAAAAAGTACCCAGGTAATATACATAGCAATGCTATTATACAGAGATTGGGACTCAAGGCACACAACACATCTAACTCAATATATTCTTCAAGGCTAAAGTGCCATTTGAAAGTTTTACTTTCCAAATAGCCTCTATTGTGCCTCAGCTGAAGTTAAATTTCATTCCTGCCCTTGAGTTATGTTCATGTGTTTATTAGAAACCGTGAGGAGGAATGGAAAATGAAAAGCCTAAGTGTGGAGAGGCAGACAAAGAACAAACATCATCCCTGATCATGCTCACCCTCCTTGATTACTACGATCAGGCCAGAGCCTCCAAAGAGCCTCCAGAGAAGGCGAGATTAAGGGTCCCTGTGGCTTTGCTACACAAGGAGGAGAAATGATGCCCTATTAAAGTCAAGGCAGGGAACAAGGGGGTCCAAGTGAACAAAGCAGAGAGGAGCTTCGCATCAGCCCTCCAGCACACAGTCCCCAAAGAGTGGCATGTTTTTGCCAGGATATTCTCCAATGACAAAGCCAGTCACAATTTCCTCATCAACTGGGATGAATGTATACACAAAGACTGTGAGCCTAAGGAGATAGGGAGAAAAAGCAGACAGGAAAAAGTAAGTCACAAACTTCCCATGGAACCAATTTCCTAGGAGAAAGCAGTGCAGGACAGGCCCAGGGTGAAAGTCTATAGACTGGCTGACTTAAAAGCAAGACCAGAAAAAATAAAATGCCACAGTTCAAGGAAACAGTCCATCCTTAGATGGGGCCTTCACCCAATCATTGTTTCCCCAAACTGCTGCTACCCTTTCTTCGTTTTCTCTATCCTTCCTTTCTCCCTCACTCTCATCTTTCCTTCCCTCCTTCCTTCCCTCCCTCCTTCCCTCCCTCCCTTCCTTCCTTCCTTGCATCTATTTGTCACCTCCTTGTACTTTCTAATAATCTGGTATTCCTGACCAGGGTTCTGTAGTCAAACTGCCTAATGCAAATCCTGGACCTACCACTTACTTAGCTGTATGGCCTTGCCTTGTAAGGCCTATGTCTTAGTATCCCCTTCTAGGATGAGGATTATAACAATTTCTATCTCACAGAGTTGTTAAGAGGATCTGATCTGCTAAGTATATACTTATTATGCTGCTTAGTATGTTGTCAGTACTCAACATGTAGCTGCAGTAGTATCACATTCAGGGAATGGTTCCGACACTAGCAGGAAAGATATTTAAAAGGCTCCTTGTCTGGGGTATGATTAAAGTTTCTCTGTTGCTCCAGCTTATTTCTGTTGCTTTGCTTTGATGAGTGATTCTCAAACTTGAACATGCACCTGGGGCTTGATAAAACAAAGGCTACGAGGCCCCCAAATTGGCATTTCTAACCAAGCTCCCAAGGGTTGCCAATATTGCAGGTCCACCACCATACTTTGAAAACCACTGGTTCCTGACACCCTCTCCTGTCAAATGTGCTAATGTGGGTTCCAAGGTCACTCACTGTTTTGCTTGGCTTGTTGCATTATTGGAAAGCTATTGCTGCATGCTTCTCTGGCTTCCTACCCCTGGCCACAGTCTATGCCTTGTCCTGAGGAGTATGTCTCTTGTTGCCCACTAATAACATATACCTGGCTGTGAACTTATATTATGGGAACCTCCTGGGACCAGGCCCATCCCTGCTTTCATTTCTTTACCCTTGCTCTCCTAGGTTTGGTGTTCAGAGCTATTTCCATAGTCCCTGTTACCATGCAGTCCTAGAAATGCCACTTTTGATCACTGATAACCATTTGAAATCACCGTGGTTCACTGTGACACTGATGACAGGAAACAGTTTACTGTATAGACGATTTCCCCCTAGGGCATAGATCTCAAGTGACAGACTGATCACAAGATCCTGACAATCCACTCAACTTTGAAGAAAGGAAAAATCATGATAAAGCCAGCCCAAAGTCTTGCTGTTGTGAAGGAATACCATTGTCATATCCTTCCTGTAGAATGTCATACTGATAAAAACCCTATGAACAGCACAGATGAGGATAACTTGACATAACCTATTCTTAGTGAATTCATATTGAGCCTTGGTGATCACAACTTACTTTTCTAAATTATAACAAAACCTCCAATTAATAAAGACTACCAAATTTTGCTAGGCTTTACTATTTACTAGGGTTTAAATTTTACTAGAGTTTCAAGCAGCATAGCTACTTGAGTTGAAAGAGTATTTAAAAAAATCCACAATACCTTCCATACAAAAACAGTTTTCATGGTCAAATCTCACAATGTTCATTAGCATATTAAAGTATATGAAAGGACCAGATGAAAGATATTTCATTAGGTTTGTCAATTAGCAATCTAGAAACTTACTTATGGAGCCCTGGGGTCTTAATTCACGTAACGTCCAATTACTTTTTTCTTTTTTAAAATATATTTTATTGATTATGCTATTACAGTTGTCCCATCCCCCCACTTTATTCCCCTCCACTCTGCACACCCCCTCCCACCCACATTCCCCTCCTTTAGTTCATGTCCATGGGTCATACATATAAGTTCTTGGGCTTCTACTTTTCCTATACTATTTTTAACCTTCCCCTGTCTACTTTCCACCTACCATCTATGCTACTTATTCTCTGTACCTTTTCCCCTTCTCTACCCTTCCCACTCCCCTGATGATAACCCTCCATGTGATTTCCATTGCTGTGGTTCTGTTCCTGTTCTAGTTGTTTGCTTAGCTTGTTTTGTTTTTGTTTTTGTTTTTGTTTTAGGTGTGGTTGTTAATAACTTTGACTTTGTTGTCATTTTACTATTCATATTTTTTTTCTTTTTCTTAGATAAGTCCCTTTAACATTTTATATAATAAGGGCTGGGTGATGATGAACTCCTTTAACTTGACCTTATCTGGGAAGCACTTTATCTGCCCTTTCATTCTAAATGAAAGCTTTGCTGGATAGAGTAATCTTGAATGTAGGTCCTTGCCTTTCATGACTTGGAATACTTCTTCCCAGCCCCTTCTTGCCTGCAAGATCTCTTTTGAGAAATCAGCTGACAGTCTTATGGGAACTCCTTTGTAGGTAACTGTCTCCTTTTCTCTTCCTGCTTTCAAGATTCTTGCCTTATCTTTAATCTTGGCTAAGGTAATTATGATGTGCCTTGGCATGTTCCCCTTTGGGTCCAACTTCTTTGAGACTCTAAGCTTCCTGGACTTCCTGGAAGTCTATTTCCTTTGCCAGATTGGGGAAGTTTTCCTTCATTATTTGTTCAAGTAAGTTTTCAATTTCTTGCTCTTCCTCTTCTCTTTCTGGTACCCCTATGATTCATATGTTGGAATGTTTAAAGATGTCCTAGACACTCCTAAGCCTCTGCTAAATTTTTTGAATTCTTGTTTCTTCATCCTGGTCTGGTTGAATGTTTCTTTCTTCTTTCTGGTTCACACTGTTGATTTGAGACCCAGTTTCCTTCCTGTCACTGTTGGTTCCCTATACATTTTCCTTTATTTCACTTAGCACAGCCTTCATTTTTTCATCTAATTTGCAACCATACTCAGCCAATTCTGTGAGCATCCTGATTACCAATGTTTTGAATTGTGCATCTGATAGGTTGGCTATGTCTTTATCGCTTAGTTATATTTTTTCTGAAGCTTTGATCTACTCTTTCATTTGGGCCTTTTTTTTTCTCAACATGTTTGTCACATAGTAAGGGGTGGAGGCTTAGCTATACATCCGAGCGAGTCAACCCAGTCACTTTGTTGTGACACTGTATGTCAGGGAGGGGTCTGAAAGGGAACAATGTTTCTTGTTCCACTCTCTGCTGGTTTTCAGTCACTTCCCCCACTACCACAAGCAAATTGGGCCCTTCTGGTACTGATTCCTGGGTGGGTGGGTTTTTGTACATTCTAGGATCCTGTGGATCTTTCAAGTGAACTCTCCTGTGAGGCTGGGAATTTCTTCCACTGCTGCCTCAAGCCCCACAGGCTTTTTCAATTGGAGGTTTTGAGGGTTTATTTCTCCACACTGAAACTCTGGGTTGAGCAGTCTGTTTCATTCCCCAGTTGTTCCTCCTGGTTTATCTGCACTCGAATGTGGGACCACCCAGTGTGCAATCTGCTGCCTCACTGGGTCTGCCAACTGCCATCTTGCCTACCAGCTGCAGCCTTGCCCACCCTGCTCCTTCAGCTGCTGCCTCACTGTGAGTCCTCTCTGCCTGGTTGCCCACCTCCTCCCCTCCTACCAGAGTGGAAGAATGTTTCTTCTTTAACTCCTTGGTTGTCTGACTTCCATAAAATTTGATTTTCTGTCAGTTTTGGTTGTTTTCTGTTTTTAAATTGTTGTTGTCCTTTTGGTTGTGCGA